TATCATTAGACTAAATCGAGCTGCCAAGACAAAGTAGAAGTCACACGGCTAACTGGAGCTGCCACGGCCCGACAAGACAAAGCAGGATACAGAAGTAGAAGAGTAGGGGACGCCCCAAGAGACGTGTTCGTAGCAAACGCCCACGAACGGTGACAGCTAGCGAAGATTTATGACGCTGTAAAATATCATTTGTATTTGATGTCAGAGCGAGGGCTTGATTAATGCACTGCCGAGCGCACAATGAATAACTGACGTGTTGTTATAGTAACATCAATCAGAGAGAAACGCGGGGTGAGCCGGTACCCCGTTGATAAATTGTGTAGATTGGAGTTGCTGTTGCTGAGATACAATCAGCAAGGCTTCTACGATTCAATCGTTAATGCTCTTTCCCTTGATAGAATTGTCGTACATTTACTAAATTATTCCCCTAACGATAGTTGTTATCGAGTTAACCAGAATTATCAACATTGAAGTAGACATCGCCAAGTTCCACGAGTCATGTTCTTGTCTATTATTCGTAAGTCGCCACAAACCATTCTAATCGTTATGCGATTATTTCAATATATGACAAAAGCTCTGCTACATTACATTTATTTACTACTAGCTATGCTCCGCGGTTTCACCTACATGGAATACTATTCTTATTCTATGTATACGTGAGTCGTCTCGTCGCGATACGCATCAGTCACGCGAAACAAAAAAAAAAAAAAAAAACAAAAAATACATCTACGCTGGTCAGTAGTCGCCTGGCGACGCAAGAATGTATCTATCTACATATACAGTATTTGGGTAGCGCACGCCGATAAAATAGCCAAGCAACGCTTTTCTTCCCACTTGATTTACAAATTTTTAGATTTCAAATTCAATATGTACATTTACCAAAATAAAACATAGCCTATGTTACTCAGAGACAATGTTGCTTTCTATTACTGAAAACATTTTAAAAATCGGTTCAGTTGTTCCAGAGACTAGCCCGTTTAAACAGACAGACAAACAAAAATGTTTGCAAAAGCATGTTTGGGTTTTAGCAAAGTGCGAAAAGCCATATATGAGCTTAAAAAATCATTATTTCCGAATCATAGAGAGAGACTTCAATTTTATTTGTATAGATGAATTGTTTTGCATCTTTAAGATTAATAGAAACTTAAATTACGACGGACAACATATAGTCCTAGTTTCGAAATAAATATATCGGATAAGCGAAACAACAAATTTTCCGTTTAATAAAATGAAGGGACATATTAACGAGACATGGTAATCGGTCGACTCAATTTTATCGACGTCCGCCTGTTAACGGTCCGAGATAATTAAGATTACCATTGAACTCAAAACGTACGTATCGATCAGAAAATCGGGAGCAGCTCAAAAGTGTCGCAAAGTTTACAACATCGTCGAGATAGGGAGCTATGTTCGGTTCACCTCTTCTGACGCAATCATTAATCACTTACCAACAATGATTTTATTCGTGGCGAGCAATCCGGGTGTAACGTACCGTAACGCACCCCGAACACTGGGGACGATACATCACCGCGATATGTAATATTGCCCTCGGCCCCGAAAAGAAAGAGAACAGAAGACAGCTGTCCCGGTCCGACGCATAGCCATCGACCGATCGCCCAGAGCGGTGTCAATCGATCTTACCGCGCGCGCCACTTTCAAACCGTGAAAACGCTTTTGCCACGGAACGCCAACAAGAAACCACGAACCGTGAAGGAAGATTGATTCCTTGCGCGCATTGTACTCCCGTGATTTATTCATTTCCCATCCACGCGATGTAGCCGTGTATATACAACGACGATGGTAATATTTTATGAAAATTGAAAACAGAATATTATGAAAAAGAAACGATCGAATAATCGTTAAAAATAATTACTTTTCTTTCCATCCGGTTTGAAAGGAACGTCGACATTATGCGTACGTGTTTAGCTTCTGAATACGTATATCCATATTTCAAAAATCTTTGACCGTTATCGAAAATGATCGGATAGATGACAAATTCGATATCGCGTCTTATTCGCGCGTCACGGGGACGCGACGGTCGAATAAAGCAAAACATTCTACTATATTTCAACGATGAAAAGAGTAAAAGGTTGCCGTCACGTGAAATGCATAAAGCGTCTATGATGAGGCGAAAGTAGTTTGCGAGTATGTGGTACGGAGAGGGGGAGGGGAAGGTTACTTTATCGTATATGGGCTGATTATGCACGTAAATATTTCACCGGGGATGATTCCCAGAGCGAGGTGAACGAGGTTACGCGCAGAGGCCAAGCAAGAGGGGTACAAGCTGAATGGGAAAATGGCGGTAGGGAGAGGACGGGGATTTACGCGTGCAAGCCTGAACGCCCTTTATACGTCGCGACGCCGTAATATATGACACCTATAGATCACAATTACGTGTAATGGCGCTCACTCTTGTATTCATGGCGATATTATTTCTGGTTCCCTTTCAAGGTCGTCGTCGACTCTACCTCTCTCCCTCTCTTGTTCGTGTGAGACTTCGGTTCGTATGCTAAGCAGCCAGTAATTCTAGTTTGATTTACTTCCCCGTCTACCCCGAAACTTTGCGGCGAATGGCCGTAACGTAGTTCCAACCCCGCGCCGCCAGGAAAGTGATTACGATAAGTCTTTTACAATCTTTGTCCTTTGGGGATCGTATGGTACTGTAACTTATATACTCTGAAATATGAACGAAGCGATTACATTGTCGACAGTTATTTGTCTTCGAAACTTGCCAGCCAAACATGATGCAACCGTTCTCAACGTCATACGTTTCCTTTTAATAATAACAGATTAATAATTGCAACTATAAAAGTACTTTATTAACATTAATAGGATGCCTTTTAATGGTATGGTTTATGCTAGATTGTTCTTCGTTGAGTGCCGAACAGCGAGTGATCCCTTGTCCGTCCAGATCCTCGTCCATTCGGCTCTTGTTTATAAGACTGGCGCCTTATTGCTCAGCCTTTTTGGTAACGTGGCCCGCCGCCGAGTTGCTTATATGTATAGGATCTGCGGCTTCCTTGATCGAACTTTTGTTACACTTTGCTTCTATAATTTGTTAAACAGAACTCGCACGGAATTGAGTTACTCGCAATTAACGTAACATTATCATATCGTGCAGACATTACGATAACTTGCACTATGTAAAACTTATCCTGTTACTTTCCAACGGGTCACATCGATATCGGTCTTCGTGCTTTTTATACGTAAACTTGCACCAGGCGTGTAGAAAATATTCTATTCGTATCACGGTTACGTAAACGTATACGCCTGTCTTGGAACCTCGAATAAATATTTTACAAGATACATCTGACGCGTTCAATTAAAAGAACAGATAATGGCAGACTTCGCGTGGCTATAGTTTCATATACAATCTTGAACGTAATTTAAACATCAAGTAAAATCATCGAGCAATTAGTTCGAGTAGTCAGCGGAATCAGGAGATACGATCAAACCCGAAGAACGTGGTTACTCGTTACCGACCGTTGCCATTGCGCGAGGTATATCAGCGAATAGTCGGTCGAGACTCGATGAATGTAGTTAACAAATGTGTTAGCGTAACGACACATCATTAAAGACCACTAGGTATCCGTGACAAGCAACGGATGTTCGCCAACCATTATGACAACATTGCAGCGGTATATTGCAACAGCGAAATAAAAGTCCAGTTCAGAGCTATACGTACGTTACACCGATTAGAGTTTGTATATTATCAATTTTTGATAACTTCCTCGCGAAACGCGTTGGAAAAATTTATTGAAAGTGTAGAGATATTGTAATATATTACCGACGTATCTATAATACCGACCTATGAGGTGTCGTCACTCATTTGTTTTTCGTTTCCGTCTACGAACATGCGGTGAACGACTGTTCAGTGCGAATTCAGACACCACCTTGTTACCATACGTTTATAACATAATATTAAAGTATTTTATGTACCAAGTGCAGTATATTTTATTCTGCGCCCTGCAACAGAAAGTAACTAATTCGTACAGCAACGCAAGTAACATACACGTATACGGATTCTTGTTTTACGATAACCGAGAAACGATAAACGAGAAATCGGTGTAGCTAAGTGTAGGGATGTTGGATCCATCTTATACAGGGTATCCCAAAAGTCGGGGAGGAGCCGGAAATGGGGGGTAACTGAGACGATTCTGAACAACAATTTCCTTTGCAAAAATGTCGCATGAGGCTTCGTTAAGGAGATATTAAGAGAAAACCCCGACCTATCAGAGCGCGCGTAGACCGTTGGAGCGGCCGCGGTAGCGAAGGCTACGCGCCGGCGGCCGCGCTTGTACGCGAACAAGTGACTCGACGTGCATCGAAGGACATTGACGCTACCGCCTAGCTCGTAAACTTCGCTACCACGGCCGCTCCAGCGGTATACACGCGCTCTGATTGGTCAGGGTTTTCGCTTAATATCTTCTTAACGAAGCCCCATCGGACATTTTTGCAAAGGAAATTGTTGTTCAGAATCGTCTCAGCTACCCCCCATTTCCGGCTCCTCCCCGACTTTTGGGACACCCTGTATATTATGCGATTTAATATCCGTATGAGCAGTTTGAGTAATTAGGTACACTTTGTCGTAAGTATTAACAAGTTAATTGGTAAGATAAATGAGACATACACTGAGTCCATTAAAAATGGTATTTAAAGGGCAACGAGTAACGAACGCACACGCGTATAATACATTCTAAACCATCGCGAAAGACGAGGGCTCGCTCGTGAATCACTGCGCGAGTACATTAAGCGGCACGGTAATTGAGTGAAGCGCCATGCGCCGCGGCACTTCCGCAACGGCTACTCGAAACTCGCGTTTACGGGGTTACGTTTCAGACAGCACCAATGGCGCTACTTGTCGCCTTCGGCGGTGACACGTGTGCGCGTGCGAATAATAACCACGTACACGTTTATATAGCCCGGAGATAGCTATTGTCCCAGTTCCGGGGTGTAATGCACCATTGTGAATTGGTCACAGTGACGCATCGCCTGTCGTCAGGAAAGCGACGGTTAGTTTATTTCAGTTCAAACACCCATTCGCTTTTGCCCGTGCAGAGACGATCAACGCTCAATGGGAAGATCAAAATTAAACAAGAACCGCGGTAATTCTATATTTTAATCAGCACTAGGGATTTCCAATTAACTTTCCCTGGTCCAAGTGTTTCCTACCGTGTTCGTCATGAAAACTATCATTCCATATACATTTGAAATCCAATTAATTGCAGTAAATAAATTGAAAAAAGAATAACACACCAGGAGAAGTGGATTCGAACCCTTACTGCCGAAATCATTATGTAAATTTGTATTTCACCATATAATGAAACTTCAAACACGAATATCTAAAAAAATTATCGAATATCTACGTCTATAATCGTATATATTCGTTAAACAAAAAATTGAGCTAAACAAAAGAACGAGTGTGTCTATAAGTGTACTAAGTTTCAACTAAATCTGAGATTGAACGAGCTTGCCTTTTCCTTGTAAGATTAGTAAAGTTATCTTCCGTCGAGTTACCATTTTCTAACCGCGTATTTTACACATTTATTCGTTAAATTCAATCAGACTTAATGTTTCTCACCCCGGAATAGAATTCCGTACTGTTCCAGAGAAACTGGTAAATGGAAGCCAATTCGACAGCATTCAAATATATTTACGTAACTTCGTAGTTTGGCACGACTGGAGAAACGTAGCTTTTATATATTTGCGAATGCGAATGCGAATGCAAATGCGAATGGCCCTAATTGTTACATCGGGGAGCACAATCTGGTCGCACGGACGACCGCGAGAAAAACCGTGTTAGTCCGAATGGCGAGGCTGCGCGCGTTATGCACATCTAGCGGTACGTGCGGGCGCACAAACGAATCACTCACGTTTCCTGTAAATTGCAAATTCATGGTATATCGGCGCACAGCCCAAACGTTTTACTGCCCGGCGATGCGCGATAACGCCGTGCTGACAGCGGAATGTCCCAGCCAAAATGAATCCAGCGAATACACGCGAGACGCATATGCGGGAAACGTATTCTCCTATGTTTTGTTTTTCGCTGGCGTGCTTGGAATATCGGATACAGCCAGTGCCAGTGGCGTAACCCGAAGGAAGACCGGTACACGGTGCGGAGCGAAACAGACCGGCGTGCGCCCAGAGGATTCGCGGAAACAGGACGGGATCTTTGCTGACAATGTATGTACTGCTATTGCTATCGTGACATTCTTACTAATGTAAGAATCTAAATTACCACGTATGGAGACGGATGCATATACCTTCATTCTGCGTTAAATATTCTTTCCGTGGTTAGGTTATCGCGGTATATCATGATAAATATTCTTGTATGTCCGTAGACATGTTCCTGCCGCAAGTATGATACTCGATGCAACTTTAAAGAAAACCGACGTCAGAGTGCATCGACCAATGGACAAAAAACAAACTATTTTTTAACAAGTTATTTACTATTTGAAGTCCATAATTGGGCTTTAGATCACACTCTGGTATGATTATCTCATTATTTACATATTTTTAAGTCGATACAATGGCCAAAGAGTAGGAATTAAATCCTTTTGCAATAAACACTTTATAAGTTTTAATTTTTTTCTCGCCCTTGAGCAAGAAAATAAAACGCGGAAAGCAAATCGAAAGAAAGAAGTGATCTTTTCATAACAATCCAGCACCAATTATGGAATTTTCAGGCACAAGTATATACAATAAAATCAATTTTCTTGAAGTTTTAAACTTTAAACTCGCATTACAAAAAAACATCTAATAACATTTCGTATCTATTACATGTTCTTGCAACTTAGGGTATGCACTTTCATTTCCATTTGGTTTTATCTGCATCTGGGTACGTCTTTTTTGATTATATAAAAAAAATAATACAAACAATTTTTTATTTACTGTTTTTTACTGTGAAATATATTTTATTTGAAAAATAAAATTTTTTTTCTTTCAAAAATAAGAATTTTTAATTTTTAAACACTGATGACATTCACAATATTGGAATTCAAGCGACTCAAACTTATATTAACTGCCAACAGTGTTTGAATCAAAAACTTGAATATTATGTTAAAAATTTTGTTTTTCGAAGAAAAAACGTTTTCCTTCCATTTTTAGTATAAGGATATGGGGTATATTCGTAATCAGCGTAGAATTTCCCATAAGAATCCATAGATATCAGTATTTTGTACACTTTGATCATTCACTCGAAGCACTGTGTAACGTGACAATATTTTTTACTTTCGTTTAATGTATTAGTCCAAATACTCAGTAATCAGATTTTGCTGATTATCGTTTTGAATCGAATAAGAGGCAAAAAAATTAAATTGTTGAATCAAATGAAATACTATATTGGACTTATGTATGCAATATTGAGTAATTAAACATTATTTTATTAAATTGCTTAAAGACATTTTTTACCGACTTCGAAAAGAAGGTGGTTACTCAATTGACATGTATATTTTTTGTTATGTTTGTTCGCCGATTACACTGAGATGGCTTGACTAGTCGAAATGCAACCACTTGCATCTTGTAGAGCAAAGCTTCGCAACCGCTGTGCCGCGATGATTTTCTCGAGAATAAAAAAATTTTTTAACCACCACATCAATTTAAATTTTTCTAAGTCATGTATTCCTCTAATTTTTGGCCAATATGTAATTTATCTGAGTTGAAATTATACACAAAACGAAAACATGTAGTTACTATACATTACATGTATGCTCGAACGTCAACAGCTTTTTGATTCAACTTTTTATCGGTATCAAAATTAAGGAGTGACACTTTCACTCCTTTTCGAAGTTGGTTAATAAAATGTAGGTTAATTGTTTCTTACCAAAATTAATTACAAAAATTTATCGAATGGAATAAATCATATTTTATTAAGTGGCTCAAACGTTTTATATTAAAATGAAGGAACATTTTCGCGAAGGAGGTACAACCTCTGATAATAATTACGAGACACAATTTTTTACTTCGGTTACTTAGATCATCGAGAAATTATATCTCCGTGACAAATTCATAATTAAGTCAATGCTTATTCGCCTCAATATCTTTCGTTGCTTTTAAAGGGGCTTCTCGATATTAAAATTATCTCGATGTTAATTATTAAAGTAGACGGTGTTAATAAATATTATAAAGATCGAACATTTAAAGGTTCGCGTGTAATTTGTGTATACGTAGTAGTATGTACACATTTTATGATTTACGCATCGATGCAACCTTAAAAATATATACCAACCATAAATAATGATTTCCCTCTTAACAGGATTTACATTGTTTTGTTTTATTCGCGCGTACCAGTCATTAATATAATATCCAATTAAGCGTGTACTGGTTTTATTAAATGCATAACGTATCTCATTACGTGTAATCGTCTGATGTTTATTCGAACGATATTGCGGAATGTTTACGAATTTTGAAAGTATACAAGTCACGGTATTATTCTTTTCGTATTGGTGTACAGAGCAGTAAAATAAATCTCTGCGATCGCTAAATTTTTCAGAATTAATTACGTTATTTAAACACGTATCCATTAACGTATTTACTGTTTGGCAAAGTGTTCATATGCATTCGAAAGAGCTCTTTCTGCTGTACAAAACTGTGATAATTGTTGTTTTGAATAATTTAATTTTGTATTATATTTTATAAAATTTGTAAGCTATTTGAGAAGCCACGAAGTTGTAAAAAATAAAAATTTTAAATATTGCCTTGTGATTTTGTTAATTTTCAAATATTTTAAAATAGTTATAGGAGCGCCGCCGAATATTTTTCACAGGAAATAATTGGAAAAGATTGCAGGTATATATGTGAAATAAACCTACAAATCTTATTCACATATGTGCTATCATTCTATAAATAGTTACACGACCATGGAAAACATGTGACCAACTTTTATTAATTTTGCAATTTTGCAATATTTTCTTTTAAGAAATTTACCCCGTCTAATTTTGTTAATTTCTAATCCTTGAAATTCGTTTATCTTATGAAGCGAAACCAATCCCGAGAACCCAGATGAATGTACCTCTTTTTTTCACTGATTGTGAGTTAAAGTCGTTTGAAAATTTCAGTTTTGCATGAAGCACATTCAAAATAAACTATGTATACCCAGTATCGCAGCTGTGAACTAAGCTATATAGAGTAACTTTTATGAAAAAAATAAGGCACCATTCTTGCGTTAAAAGATATTAATATTTGAAACAAATATTGAAGCGTATTCTGTATCATCAAAAAATGGACCTATGAAGAAATGATAAAAAAAAATTCAAACACGTGGTATAAAGCTGTTTTGAAATGTTTTGGCCAATTTTTGAGGCTCAGAAAGCTCTGTAAGGAAATAATTTGTGTTATAAAACACTATCAAAAATATTTCTCATTTTACTGTTATACCGTTCCAAATTTTTTTCATAAATGTTGTATTTCCAAAATATACTGTAATTTATATTTTGTAGTTTAATGAAGCTTTATTAGGACTTATTAAGTATTTGAATATTGAATACAACATTTTTTGCTTTTAATATTATCATTCAAAACCTTTTTTTGAATTTTGCCTTCTGACATCCACGCCGCCAAGTTAAAATTAATCACGCATACAGTTTTTGTTAAGTCTTAAGAGTGAATGTGTATACTAAATATTAAAATTGCTGTCAAAAAAAGAAATTTTTCTTCAATTGCATATCTAAAAGTTTTGTGGATTTGCCCATAAACACTTTAGCAATCAGCAAGCAAATCGTTTTAGCATAAAAGACAAAATAAAACGCTACGAACTTATTAGCCAACTCAATACATTGCAAACCCAGCGTCGTATTATCTCGGTAAAGTGAAAAATTTAATTTTCACAAAAATCACAATTTAATTCTCCGATGTTTTATAGTTAAGCATAGTTAAAAAATGTGTGATTCGAAGTTACGACTACAGATATGGTGATGTAAACCACGCATATGCTTATAAAAGCAAGCGGCAATTAATTATTATTTGTTAAGCTTATTTTATTTTTCCACGTAAATTAGAGGATTCCAGAGACTTCTTAAAATATCCTTTTAACTTTTAACTTTATATCGTTCTTATAAAACATCCGAAAATTATCGCACTACCTTGCACGAGTATTTTTTGATATTTAATATCCTTGCTTAATCTTCGCGCGTCATATGATTGTTCAATTTTTATTATTCGGTAATCATTTGGAAATTTTTCGAACGACGCGCACCGTTCGTGTTCGGTTCACGATAAAGTATTGGTTTCTCAATAATTATTCCATAAATCATCGGTGAAAAATTATCGCATCTCCGTGACAAAGCAAAAACCGAGACGACCGCCACTAACCATCGGTGATAATTGCATTGTCGCATTAATACACATCTAACATAATGCAGTTTCGAGACCGAAGATAAACGATCCAATCTGTTAAGAGTATGCCTCCCCTCGACACGAGCGCTTTCACGTCACAGTTATATATTTTCCGTGCTGAAAATTTATTATGTACTAAAACACCGGTATTGTTGCAAGAAAGCGGCTGTTGACTAGAAAAAGCTGCTGTTATTAATTCACATTAGCTTAATAGGTACAAGAGAGAAAGGAACAAATGAGAAGGAGGGGAGCGGATAGAGAGAAAGAACGAGAGAGGGATGGATGAGGAGTCCGTAGAGGGGTGGGGAGGCGAAGGGGGGAATAAGGTCACGCCAGAAAGTGAGTAATGAAGGCGGTTTATCTCCGAGGAGTAACTAGCGGTGTTCGTGTAATGGGGGCATTCATCAACGCGATCTCACATCGCCTTTCCGTTCGCGTTTCAGAGTCTCATGACGATTTGCACTACGAACGGACGGTGAGAAACGGAGCTGAAACGATTTCTTTTTGCGCGCGTCTCGGAAAACCCGTTGCCACTTTGCCACGTAAGATTAATGTCGTCCAAGTGAAGTTTTCGGCGCCATTAATTTTTCTGGCACATTTATTAATTTTCCTTACTCGGCAGTCGTTCAACGCACAGCAGAGTTTAAGATCTTGACGTTAAGTTGACGGTAATCGTTTTTCTCTTTCCAATTTTACCCTCCGTCCTTCTTTTAACATTATTTATTCCAATATGCACATTGCACACGTTATCAAAGTTACTGTCCGATCCTCGCTTGATACGCAAATATATCCACATGTATACGAAATCTTTCAAACATGCGAGATAAACTATTTAGATGTTCATTTAAACAGTCACTTTTAACGTCATACGTAGATAATTCGCGACACATTTAAAATTATTCGATCATTTAACCAGGGAATCGTATGAAATTTCACGTTGAATATTTAATCGGGAAACCGACACCAATATTCGCGATGCAACGCGTTACTGCCAGTACGTGCCACCAGCAGGATAAGAGCAACATTAGCAATAACAGCAATAATAACAACTACAACAGCTGAGTATCAACGGCCAACACGATATACACGCGTGGAACACGCAACGAGCACAGCGTGCAGCCATATTATTACCGTCTTTTCGCAGTCCGCGCCTCTGTAATTATGATTTTATTTTTATGGACATAAATTATACAGGCTGCCTAGCTGTGTCATTATATGGCATTTTAATTCAAGGCTGTAGACATGATGGTAACCCGCGCCACGGACTCGCTGTTCACCTGCCCGGTGAGAAAAAGAGGAAAGGTGCACGCCAGGGGAAAAGAGAGACTACCGCGCAACGTATACGAGTATAGTATACGTTCCGTTAAGTTGAATTGTGTTGCGTTGGTAGGGTGCTGGCCCCTCTGCCTCTTCTTACTCATATGGTCTCACGTTTATTCTCTTCCTTTCTCGGCAATCCCTTTACCTCGCTTTCCCACCAGATAATCAATCTGTATTACCTACACTTAGTAATTTTTTATTCAACCTAAATTGTTCCCCTAATATACGTTCCATTAATTGAAAATATCGCCCCATAGCGCATTCACTTACGTTAAATAGATTTATCCTTTTCGAAAATGATCGATTATAGTTTATATTAGGGGGACAAGAAAGTAATGTTGTTTCTTTTATATTAAAAAATAAATAAATGAATTTATAACAAGTTTTTGTTTTCAATCAATTATGTAATCGCTCTCGTTAACGACAACCTTTTGCTATCTAGTGTGCAAATTTTCAATACCTGATCGATAAAATTCAATTGATATACGATGAACTGATAAATGATAAACAAGTATTGACATTCGCAGAAAAGACATTACTTTCTGGTCCCCCTAATAAATAAAACTAAAAATTTAGAAAACGTGATAAATTCTGTAACCATTGTATCTATCGAATCAATTCGAAAATTTATAATTTCACCAATTTATTTGTAGCGATATCATGAAATCACAGTTTTTTTTCATTCGAATCCTTCCCACCGGACATCAACGAAACATACGCATATTTTTCAAAGAAGAAGTAGATGAATGACTGTATCGCTTTTTACATGTAACGTACTTATTCTTCCAACATCTGAGTTCCTCGCACTTCCGTTTCCTTGCTATTCCAGCAAACACGACCATGGAACGATTAAATCGTACGACGTCTAGCCTGAATGTAATTATATAAATTTACAAACATTCATTAAAATTGGCCTTGATTAATTATTTTCAGTCTCTTCGTTACGGAAGCTCCCGCTACAAACGATTCAAAATTTACATAAATATTTTTATTCCGTTAAGTTTGTAAGATTAATATCATTTTCACATTCAATTACCTTCAATAGAAATTAAAATTGCATGTATTGCTTTGAATCTAATAAAACGTGTTGAAATTTCCATTACATATAGCTACATAATCCAAAACCATGAGAAAATAATTTAAAGAATTCATCGCGTTATTATAATTTTTTAAATTTCTTTTTTATAATTCTCTCTTTTATTGTTTATTTCCAAGCAAAGATAAATCCATTCATCTATCGCGCGTCACGTTTGATTATTTTCCCGCTATATTAGGAAATATTGGTATATTGCAAATACGTAACAGATTGCAGCAAAAGGTTAAACATGACGTTTCTATGTTATGATGGATAACGCAAAAGTAAAGCGTTCTTTAAATTAAATTTCTAGTACATTGCTTAACATGTTCATATACGAATAACTAATGTTATCCGTAAAGACAAGAAACTTGTAAAAATGTTACAAAACAAAATAAAGTAAAACAGAACGAAACAAAACACTTTCTGCTGTAGAACTTTGTCATCGTTTACACTTAACTTGTAAATGTGCAGGCCGCATTACCTTTTTATCGATATCTTAAACGTCTCGTAGTATCTGAGAGTGCATTTAGCACCGTACACGTGACTGATATTCGTAAAATGCCGTACGACGATAATTTCAGCACAATTTTAAAAGGCAGTATACAGCGCTCCACAGTCTTGGCGATTACGCTGAATAATTATGTACCGACCCGTTGTTATGTTTTTACGACCGTCTGAATTATACATAATTTGTAGTCATAAGTATACCTTACGTTGGTTTACTTTTGACAGTGATCCATACATTCTCGGAACCACTGCTCCTACTTTGAACAATGACGTCACGCCAGGTATCCAATAATTCCCTTTATACAAATTTAAAGGGTATGTCAAAAAATTATGTCGTTTGCGATAAACATTACATTCTTTTGTGTCAATTAAAATTCTTTACGATTTCATTTATTACTCTTTACGACGCGACTCGTCTTCCAAATAGCAATTAAAAAAATTTACCGAGGCATGTTCAAGCCGACTAAAACACTTTTGAAAATTCATAGC